GTTGCGCTGTAGGCCTATAGAGCATGCTCGTACAGGCAATTCAGCCAATTTAATTTGATTTGCATGTGAAATGTAAATCCTATCTGCAGTGTGGCCTTTCTGCAGTTATTTATGTTATTTCTTAGTTTTTATTGATCCAAAATGTTTTTATACATTTTCTTCTATCTTTGTGTGATGTTCTGTACATCGCGGCTTTAAAATGTTAAAGCCCCGCCCCCTCCCCAACACCACACACATGATTCGACTATTAGTCGACTATAGGCAGGACCTGACGAATCTGATTCGACTATGAAAATCCTTAGTCGGGGACACCCCTAAGCTGTAATAGTAGGCTATTCGAGAGAGTTTCACATGTAATACGTAGCTATTTCATATGCAAGCATGTCAGCCAATCACAGCAGTGGCTGGTTACACACTGAATCCCACAGCAGACACGCCCCTTCAAACAGAGCGTTTAAATCAGAGGCTAAAATCAGGCTAGGAAAAATGCCTTTTTATTTTGAAATTATGACTATTTTTGATCTAAAAAACATACTAATATTATAAGGGCAACCCAGGAAACATTATAAAATAATAAAATAACCCCATGTCAGGGGACCTTTAAGAGGTCATTGTACTATAAAAATATCCTGAAAGTTGCAGAACTCAAAACTTCCTTGTTAGTCCAAAAACAGCTTTTATTGAAACCAAGCTACCCAAACGATTTGTTTTGGTTTTTGTCACATTATTACTTAATAGTGTGGTGAAATAAATATAAAAGATGATGGAGTGACAACGACTATATTGAATCTTACAGCAATGTTGCAACTTTGTCAGTAAAAATGTTTTTACCGTGTGTCACTATTGCTTTGTCTGTTACAGATCGTTTGATATTTACTGAGTATTTATACTGTAGAACCGCAGTCAAACGTGGTTTGAAATTGCCAGTGTTTCTTATATCACAAACTACCTTGTAATCAATCACGTCAACGTGTGGGTGGGCTTTAGCATATCATTAAATGTGTCTCAAGAGACGGAAGGTTTTCTGGTATGTTTTTCTGTTGATATGAAAAATAGTGGGTGAATTATGTATATGATGTTTATTACAATGTTATGATGAACTATATGCCTTTTTCCACTGGCGTTCTAAGTTGTTCAAAGTGTTTCTAAGGATGCTGATTTTTAGAAGGCAGCCATGTGAATGGGAGCATGGTTTGTGTACCATTAACAACACATTATTAGCTGTTTAATAACGTAGTCAAGCCAAAGGCTAATCATATAAATTATTACCGTTATGTATTCAGTGGCGGGGCTCATTTGCATATTCATGGATTCGTGTTCACTAAATGAAGCAAGGGTGTAGAGTTATATTCAAGCTATTTTATGGCATGAATAAAAAAATCACAGGAAAAAACATTTAAATATGAGTTTTAAGGGATAAAATTGTTGACTACAGACAGGGGGACTTTAATAAATAATATAGTATGTAAATAATATTAAAATAACACTGAAAATAAAATGGTTAAATATCTTTATTTACCAATTTCTGTTTTGTTTTTCTTCTTTCAATGTAGTGAGCTTGCAATGCTGCTGTCCATGGCTCAGAGTAACCCTGCACTGTTCCAGATGATTTCAGACAGGAAGACGGTCGCTCTGCAGCTTGAAAGACTCTCAAAACTGAAGGAGCTGATGGACACCACTCCAGAACAACTGAGGGCCAAGCATACTGAAGACTGGTCCTGCTGGATCAAGAAATACAGGTACAGAAAGAAAGCTTTGAGTTCTTTCGATCTGATGCATTCATTTCCCATTGGCATTCATTTCTAATGAAAAGTGTATTATAAAGCATTGTTATTTGAAACCAAAAAGACCTGAATGAGACCTAAGTTGTTTTAATAGTTCAGGTTAGATTTATCTGTGTAAATGAATTATTACTTTTCCTGCTACAATGTACTTTTGCATATGTTGTCTATTTAATTCCCAAGGCAGCGGCTTGCTCGTGAGTGTGAGTCAGGGGTTGATGTGAAAGATCTACAGAAGGAGAGAGTATGTGTGATGAACAACAACAACCCACATGTTGTACTCAGAAACTACATTGCCCAGAATGCAATAGAGGCAGCTGAAAATGGTGACTTCTCAGAGGTGAGGCTCATACTAGCTTTGTAAATCAGAGCACCTAAATTGCAAGAGACATTCAGTACCATTCAAAAGTTTGGGTCAAGAAGATTTATTAATTTATTTATAATTAAATACATTTATTAGGCAAGGATGCATTAAATTGATCAAAATAGACTAAGACTTTTACATTTTTACAAAAAAATTATTTCCAATTAAATGGTTCAAAACAGCTTTTCCATCACAGGAATAAATTACATTTTTAAAATATATTAAAATAGAAAGCTGTTATTTTAAATTGTAAAAATATTTCAGAATATTATTGCTTTTACTGTATTTTTGATCCGATAAATGCAGCCTTGGTGAGAATAAGCGACGACTTTCAAAAACATTACAAAATCTTGCCAAAACTTTAAACCGTAGTGTACTTTTATGTCTGTTAATAATGTTTGTTTTCAATTTGTGATTCATAAATTTCGTAAAGTCTTAATGTTCATTTGCATCTTCTCAAATCCATTAGGTTCAGAGAGTTCTGAAAGTGTTGGAAAAGCCATTCTCTGTGCAGGAAGGTCTTGAACAGCCAGGCTTGGAGGCAAGAGGAGGAGCTCCAGAGGAGAGAGATGAGACCAGAGAAGAGGCTCGAGTACTTGTCCCATATAACAGCAAGCCCCCCATCTGGGCCAATGAGATCTGTGTCACCTGATCATCATAAAACCTTTATGACAACTAACCTGCTCATTTAAGCAGAGTAATCCTGCAGAAGCTGGTTAGGTGTTGGTAAAGGTATTAAGTGAGGTATTAAACTCCTGTCCACCAGTTAAAAACATGCAGTAAGATGGTGTGTAGAGGCAAAATGAAAATCCAGCACGTTTACTGCTGTATATTTAACTGGTTACAAATGATGACTTAGACCACTAGTCTTACCATGACAGGTCTCAGTCTGAAAGATAGAAGTTGTGCCTCTATATATAAAATGACTGTGGATTTGAATGTTGTAGGGTGTTTGAAATTAAACGCACAAGCCATTGAGCAACAAAGCTCTAAAGCTTAAACGCACAAATCATTTACTTAATAGGTATCTATATCACGTATGTAGCGCTGATTTAACACAGTCTATCTGAAGCTAGAATAGTATATTATTCATCAAATACACCTACTTGTAAATAGTATCCTGTATTTTATTTTCACTTAAGTATTTTCAGTTTCCCTACCACACAGCTTCACCTAATCTGAATAGTGTGTTTACAAAATGCATATATCATTAGAAGTGGGCATTTTACATTTACATTTTGGAGTCAACGAAGGAAGTATTTTCATATGCTTTGTATCCATTCCTTTAAATGTTGTTTAAAACATGGCTAAACGAATGTTAATGTTTTTTGGCATAGTTTCAACAACTGTGAAGAACGTTTTCAGACATTATTATATAATTTTTAAGAACTTCCCTGATGAATATGCAATATTTAAGATAAAGTACTAATTTAATAAACATTACAAATAGCACATCTGTGTTCTAATTTTTGTCAACCAGGATTATTTTATCAGTGAGAGTGCGTGGTGAAGCAATTTCCATTGTTTTCATTTAGGGAGGAATGTCAATGCCTGGGGCCCAATGCTTCAACATGTTAACACAGGTTCAGGTGTGTGCACCTAAAAATACTTAAGGCAGATTTCAACAGTGTCAAATACTTGAAGACAAAAAGAAAAACTCCCTTTAATCTATGGCATATAACAGGAAATAAGCATTCTTTGTTCATATTGTAAAATACCAGAACTTATGGGACTCCCAAAGTATTCATTTTCAAGGCTTTGGAAGAACAAACATGCAGCAGTTCTCACATTCACTGAAGGACAAACATGTTCTTGGATATTTGGTCTCAGTAATGCAACTCCTGTATGGAAAGCTGTTTTGACATTTATTCCTTAAAACCAACTATAGTATTTTATGGTACTAATACTTCTAATTATCAGCAAGTAATCCAACAGTGGCAAAGTCTTGTTCAATTTTACTATTACTATAAACTTACTCCTTTACCATCTTGAATCTACTATTCATTATATAATAACATTTATTACTTTTTTGTACTAGTCACTACCCTAATAGTGACAAGTAATTATTTATACTGGTAACAAATTTCATTGCCATTGAATTCTTTGGGAGTCTGTGGTTCAGTTATTAACTATTAATTTCTGAATGTTATTAACTAGTAAGTTTTCCATTTATGCTCATGTCCTCTTTCAGTTTTACTTCATCTTTTACTTTAAATAGTTAATATTCCAGTTATTGTAGTACTCAAGTGAAAAGACACTAGTTTTTTACCCTGAGATTCTCGCTTAGGACTGCACATGCACATTGGCTCGTCTAGCCTTAAAAATAAGCCTTTTTAAGATTTTAGGATTCCCCATTCAAATAGATAGGATTTGGTCTTGGCTGCCCGGGAGCGTTTGCAAGTATGGCTGCCGAGTGAACCGACTTTCCCAGAAAAGGACTTTACACTAGTCACAAGCAGTATTATCTAAAGTATCTAGAGCAGGGATGGGCAACTTCGGTCCTGGAGGGCCACTGTCCTACAGTTTAGCTTCAACCCTAATCAAACACACCTGAACAAGCTAATCAAGGTCTTCGGGATTACTAGAAAGTTACAGGCAAGTGTTTTTTTCAGGGTTGGAGCTAAACTCTGAGGACAGTGGCCCTCCAGGACCGAAGTTGCCCATCCCTGATCTAGAGAATAGCTAGTGACAATACAAAAAGATACAAATACACTACGTCAGTATTGACTGACCTACTTTTTTTTTTTTATTGTAGTATGAATGAAATGAAAATTAGTTCGGTTTATGCAATAACTGTTAAAACGGCTTGCCATAAACAGCCACGCAGGAGAGGGAGCGGTTAGGCTACGCGTACACGCACATTCTAAACGCGGACAGGTAGATTGCTATTATACGTGTTCAGGTAAACCTGGAAATCACAGCTGCGGTACTCAGGACAGCACATTTAAAGCGGTATTCACCAATATGTTAGCCCGAGCAAGACCTGGATATTATCGCCAGGAGGTAAATAAAACCGCTTGGGAAGTCCCGGAGAGATACAAAGATCTGAAACAGGTGGGGACGGGGGCATATGGTACAGTATGGTGAGTTATTGCTCTCATTTTCTGTGCCTACTTCCGGGAAAGAATCGTGATTTATGTTTAAAAACACTTAATGCATGTCACTGTTGCAGAACAATACGTGTCTGGGATCTATTCAAAAATGATGTGGACGTCTGTAGGTGAGCACAACAAGGCACAGACTATTTTATGATAAAGATGCCTCCAAATGTTTTGATGCGATCCAAATTCATACAGCATATTTGCGAGTCAGTCTATGTTTTATTCATGCGTGTTTACAGGGATATTTAAGATAAACTCATCAGAAAATGAGAGTTTCAAAATTAAGTGCCTGCAAAACAACGTTGTGGTTAATAATTGTAAGATGGCAGCTGTTGACTAATGCTGCCTGTGGCCAGGTGATGATGGTTTATTACGTTCTCATGCTTCCTTTAAAAAGTCCCAGAGGATTATCTCGAGTAACCACTGTTCGCGTCTTGAGGCACTTCCCACATAATCTGCCATTTAGTAAATGGCAACATTTCCACTTTGAAATTATATTATATTAATATTATAATAAAATAATATATAGGCTATTATATCACTCACTTCCCCTAAAATCACTCGTCCTCAGACCAGACCTTCATTTTGATTAAAATATATCACTTAAGAAAAACAGCACGGTAAAAACAGAAAAAGAAAAAGTTGCTGCCTTAAAGGAATAGCCTAGTTCACTTAAAAATGAACATTTTGTCATAATTTACTCACCCTCAAGTTGTTTCAAACCTGCTGTATGCATTTCTTTCTTCTGCTGAACACAAAAGAAGATATTTTGAAGAATGTTGGTAACCAAACAGCTGTTGTACCCCATTGACTTCCATAGTATTTGTTTTCCTACTATGGAAGTCAATGGGATACATCAACTGTTTGGTTACCAACATTCTTCAAAATAACTTCCTTTATGTTCAGCAGAAGAAAGAAATTCATACAGGCTTGAAACAACTTGAGGGTGGGTAAATGATGACAGATTTTTTATTTTTAAGTGAACTATTCCTTTACATTTTAAAGTACAATCAACTTGGACATTTTAGTGATTTCAACTTAAATGACATTTAACTGACTTTAAAAAAAGCTGCATTTTGTAACTTATAAATAAGATTGGAAATGGCTTAACTCTCTTTGATGAGTTAAAGCAATGTAAAAACATTTGTTGTCATAATATTGATCATATTATTTATTTATTTTTTACATAGCTACAGTATGTGTGTTCAGATGTTCAATTCGTTGTGCATAGGCGTTTCTTTTGCGAAAGCAAGCTGCTTTTGTGGTAAATTCTACTATGTATCTGTTTTCTAATTCAGAATGCATGTAATTGTTTACAACTGGTGATTCACTCCTCAGCTATGCGTTTGACCGGAGGACAGGGGCAAAGGTGGCCATCAAGAAACTCCATCGTCCCTTCCAATCTGACCTGTTTGCCAAAAGAGCTTATCGGGAACTCAGGCTGCTCAAACACATGAAGCATGATAATGTAGGACACCAAAGATTAATACTGCATGCTCTGGACACTCTCATCTGCCCTGTTTTAAATGAACAGATTTACAGTCTCATGTTGTGCTGTATTTGGCAACCACTTTCTCTTTTTAAATTGGTACAGGTTATTGGACTTGTGGATGTTTTCACTGCAGACCTTTCTCTAGACAGATTCCATGACTTGTGAGTATTTTACAATCTTAAACGGTCATACTTTGACCATTTGGTCACAATTGTGATTATGACAGCTTGTTTTGCATGAATGGAGGCATGATCATTTTCTGATTCTCCTCGTCTTTTGCACAGTTACTTGGTCATGCCTTTTATGGCTACTGATCTTGGAAAGTTAATGAAAACGCAGAGACTGTCAGAGGACAAGGTCCAGTATCTGGTCTACCAGATTTTGAAAGGACTCAAAGTGAGTATTGTAATAATAATGCAGGCTCACACACCCTCGCAAACATATTTTCATTAATCACTTTGTGTTTACAGTATATCCATGCTGCTGGAATCATTCATAGGGTGAGCACAGTTGTGTCAGTCTTATACACATATGTAAACATGTATTTCTCACTACGAAATCAAACCACTAACCTCATCTGATGCCTTGCAGGATCTCAAACCAGGCAATCTGGCAGTAAATGAGGAGTGTGAGCTTAAGGTATCTCACCACGTGCATGTATTAATCCTGTATGCCATTTGTAGAGATTAAGATTTATTTGAAGCCTTATTGTTCTGTGTCTTACATTATAGATCCTGGATTTTGGTCTAGCACGGCAAACAGACAGTGAAATGACGGGCTATGTTGTGACACGCTGGTACAGAGCGCCTGAGGTCATTCTTAGCTGGATGCATTACACACAGACTGGTTAGTCCCACATTGCATGCAGTGATCTCTATATGTTGTTCTTAAATATCATAAGTAATAATAATATTGTATTTTTTATATAATTTAATATAGATTAGTGGTTATAGGTTATATATATATATATAGTGGTTTTATATCAGTGCTGCTCTCATAAAAGCAGTAGAAAGTGCTTAATTAATTAGATATTCCACAATTACTATTTAAACTGATGATAATTCAGAGATATGTGTTGTGTTTGTTTGAATTTTCCCCTCAGTGGACATCTGGTCGGTCGGTTGCATCATGGCAGAGATGCTGCTAGGGAAACCACTGTTCAAAGGAAATGACCGTATCCTTCCTTGCAGGACAACTGTGAATTTTTTTTTTTTTTTTTTTATGTACATATTTATTAGATAATATGCAATTGTGGTTTTGATGTGGTGATTATGTCCCTAAGTCTCATCCCCAGTGTATCTGAATCCTTGACCATTTTCCGTCAGACTTGGATCAGCTGATGGAGATCATGAAGATTACAGGGACGCCAACAAAAGAGTTCACAGCCAAACTACAGTCCGAAGATGTGTGTTTCATTCATATTTTCCTACTAAGATTAGTTTGCAGAACTCTCTCCAGATATATAATGAATACTCTCGAGATGTGAAAATCCAAAGTCACATGGTATTTTTTTTTCTAGGCTAGAAACTACATAGCAAAGTTGCCAAAACTTAAAAAGAAAGATCTTTGGGCATTGTTACCAAATGTTAACCCACAAGGTAAGAGTGTTTTGAAAGTGTTTTGCTCAATCAATGCAAAAAAAAAGGGGATTAGTGTGTGTTTTTAATAATACAATTATTGTTATCATTTATTAAATAGTATTCATATCATAATTATGTGAAAGTATTTTGCTAATTGTTTTATTCGTTTTTTATTATGCAATTATTTTTATTTAATATGCATGCAATTTTATACTTTTAATATTTGTACTTTTATAAATCCAGATATACACCAGGATCACTTTTAAATAAACTTGTAAAGGAAAGATTAAAAGTTAATGTTATGTTTAAAAGAAAGAAACTCATTCATATAAATGTTAACCTAAAATCTTGATCATTATAAAAGTCCATGGACAAGTTATGTATGAACTACGTTTACATTTATGCATTTGGCAGATGCTTTTATTCAAAGGAACTTTGGTAACCCTTTATTTTACAGTGTTCTTGTTGCACATTACATGTAGTTACTGTAGTAATAACTATAAATTATGCATAATTACATGCAACTAACCCTAAACCAACCTCTATTCCTAACCCTATAGTAAGTACATTTAGTTAATAATTATTACTCAGTATTTACATGTATAATTAAACTGTAACACAGACACCTTAAAATAAATTGTAACCACAACTTTTATTGCAGTCAGTTCATGCATTTAATTACAATTAATCACTGGAATTCAATTACTTTTCCTTTGAAAAAGTAAAGTAAGGGATTACTCTTATTATTTTCTGTAATTGAATTACAGTTACTTCGGATGTAATTGCATTAAATACTGTATAGACAATTCCATATAAAACAATAGTGGATTTATCATCAAAATGTAATTTTAAATGTTAATGTTACTTGTTTTTAATGTAACCTTCTCTCTTTAAATACTTTGGTCATGTCAAGAATAATTTATGCAATTTTATATTATTTATTTGAAAGAATTAGAAGAGCAGTTTTATGTTGATCCTTGTATTGTTCAACTGGTTGAGATTGATACGAGATTTAGAAAGTAATTAGTACTACTAATCAATTACTTATTTAGAGTAACTTACCCAACTCTGGTTAACACCATGCTCTAAACTATTTGATCCAAGTACATCTTTCATGCATACATTTGATGAAAACAATTTCAAATGTCACATACTTGTTTGTCGAGTCTATGTTGCTCTCCTTTTCAGCGATTAATGTGTTAGACAGCATGCTGCTCTTGGACCCTGAGAGTAGAATAACAGCGGCAGAGGGACTGGCTCTTCCTTTCTTCTCGGAATTTCGTGAACCAGAGGAGGAGACTGAGGCCCCACCGTATGACCATTCACTAGATGAGGCTGATCAGTCAGTGGAGCAATGGAAACGTAGGTTTCAACTGAAAAGCTTGATATGACTGACTTTAAATTCACAGTAATTGGTGGAATGGATGAGACAACTAGTTTGACTTTGAACGTTTGTTTAAAGATGCATAAGGCATTAATTAGCAAGTATTTCATAGGTGTGATAGTTTATTCCAAAGAGCTAAAGAAATAACCAATTTCCCTCCGTTTTCTCTTCCTCTGTCCACTTCCATTCTTTCTACTCCTCCTTTGACCCCAGGACTCACCTTCACTGAAATTCTGACCTTCCGTCCGGCACCAGTGGTGGAAGAATCTAAAGAGACGGCTCTTTGAGATTGCTTATTTTTACATCGTCAAGGCTTTACATTTGTACCATTTGTCCCATACAGACTTTGAACAGTTTTTTACACAGTGAGTGTACTGTTTTATTTTTCAGCCTTTTACCCAGTTGTGTGCTAGTGTTTTACACAGATGAACTAGGCACAACTGAACCATCAGTAGACCGGCACCATCATGCAATTTAATTGGGAGATTTTAGCATAAATATTTGCAAGTTTGTGATTTATAGCACCTTTATTTTATTTTATTTTTTTAATGCTGACATAATTATTACACTGAAATGCTGCAATGCAAATGTCTGTATGGTTTACATTTAGGCCTGAAATATTTTTCTGGTTTTTGCCAAACCCCACAGCCATATATTTCAGTATCTGAAAGAGTATTAACTTATCTTCTAAAACCGTTTGTCAACCTGACCACAGTCACGAATGCAGAGTCCAGACAAATCATGCAATTATGCAAAGGAACCTGACAATACTGTAAAATAAGTATTTTTAAATTGATCACATTTTATTTTGTTGTATATTTTTAAATCAGTTTGTCAAGAAAATTAGAATGATTGATTAAAAATACAATTGGTAACTTTTCTGCTTTTGATGTTTCTAATTCTTATCCTCGGTTGTTTATTGACTTGAGCTTGTTGGAAAGGAAATGGAAGTCAACGGAATTCTGCACTATTTGGCATGAAGTCCAGCAGAGGGCAACATTTACCCTTCTTTTGCACTTTCTCCGATAACATTTCACAGTAATAGTTTCTAGAAAGCTGCATTATTACAGAAACTCCATTTAGACTTGAGGTCCCTGGGCATCCTCATCCTTTATTTTTATGTCATTAATTTATGCATGAGAATTGCTGTCATGTCAATACTGTGCGGTAGTCTCTGAAGAGATGTAGTCGGTTCATTTCTTAAGTTGACCTTTGCACTTCTAGTTTAGAGACACAATTCCCTGTCCTATTAAGAGTCGTTCTCTGTTCCTGCAGCCTGTCTGTGATACCTGGCCTTTTTTTGGCCCCTGTTTAGAATCCTTGTGCGGTTCATGTGGTCAGAGAATGTTCTGCCCGAAAGAAAATAGAGGAGAGGGAAAATACATTTGTCATGCTACTTCTTGGCAGCCAGATGTAACAACACAGAATGAAAGAGGAAGATAGCAAGCAAAGCCAGCAGATTTTCTCCTCTCGCTGGTTTATTTAAAGAACTTCTCTGATTTCTTGACACAAACATCTTTCTTTGTTTGTTAGAATAAGCAGCTGCGCAGTCTTAAATTCTGAATGTCATTTACATTATATTTTAAGTAACATTTGACATTCACAGTCCTGTGATGCTTTTTGGTTTATCATGTTCATAGTTTATATGATGAGCTACATCTGTGCCTTCTAGTCTATGAACTTGAGAGGAACTGATTTCATCTACTAAAATCATTTATATGATAATACAGATGTTTTATATCTATGCAGGGACATTCAGACATTTTAAGTAAATTAAGTGTCCAAATACTTATTGAGGCTACTGTATGTTTATAAATATGCAATTTCACAAAATATCTCTTTGCACTGAGAACACTATGTCCAGTGATTAAACTGGTTGGCTGTCCCTGTCAAACATCCTGTCTTGTGTAACACTCTTGAAATGGGATAAACACAATATTTCATTGTTTGCTTATGTTTACATAGTCACTTATGCAATAGTTCAAGATCTCTAAACTTAGTATGGATAGGTCTTATGGTTACCAAGGCCGTATTTATTTGATTAAAAATGCAGTAAAAACTGAAATATTGTGAATTAATATTACAATTAAAAATAACAGTTTTGTATTTAAATGTATATAAAAAAAAGTAATTTATTCCTGTGATGGCAAAGCTAAATTTTTAGCAGTCATTTCTCCAGTCTTCATTGTCACATGATCCTTCAGAAATCATTCTGCTGATTTGGTGCTCAACAATAATAATTATTAATGTTGAAAACAATTGTGCCGTATAATATTTTTGTGGAAACCATGATACACTTTTTTCAGGATACTTTGATGATTAGAAAGTTCAAAAGAACCAGATTTATAATATATATATATATATATATATTATAACATTATAAATAACTTTACTGTCACTTTTAATCAATTGAATGTGTCCTGCTGAATATCTTAAAAAATATCTTTTTTTACTATCACCAAAATTTTGATTGGCGGAGTAGATGTTTAAATATTTCTGCGTTTAATAACCTCTCATTGGTAAGACACTGTCTATCATTCTCTGTTGCTTCATGCTCTCTGCATATTTCTCTCTCTGTCTCTTTCACAAGCACAGGGAGATGCACGTGCCTTCTTGCTGTTTTGCAGATCTTCAGGAATCCTTTGGCTTAGCGGGCTGCGCAAGAGGAAATTCCACTGGCTCAAATGTTCTCAGTAAAGGCTCCAGCGTGGATCAAGCACCCAGAATCCCTGCAACCCACCGACTCCTCAGCAGAGGGACAGCGAGGGGCCGGGAGGAATGAATGTTACGGTACCACAGATGGTTCTCCTCCAGTCAGGAGACAGACTATGGTTAGAATGGTATTTTAAGTATCACCATGCTCATAAAAATAACTGTTACCCAAAACATATGTGCGTGATCTTAAGTTCATACTTGCCATTCGTTGCTTGTTTTCATCCCACATCATAACTCTGTTGATGAATAATAATAATAAAGGAAAGGTGAGAGTGATCCCATCACAGATTATATAGTTTCAGCACTGTTTTTAGAAATGATTTAATGCAGAAAATGCTTTCTGTTTGGTCTTTTTCAATTGTGAGGGTCATGAGGTTCTCTGTATGTGTGGTAGTATCCAACCCGATCTCACGAGCAATTCGTACTAATTTGTACGAGTGGCTAATTCGTAACAATTCATACGACCTGAATCGTACATATTTTACGAATTCCAAATTCGTATGAATTCATACGAATGACCTACCCCTGACCCCGCCCCTAAACCTACCCATCACGTGGGTTTAGACAAATCGGACGAATCCGTACGAGTGAGTTCGTATGAATTCGTACGAATTAGCCACCTTTTAATCATTCGTACAAATTAGTACGAATTGGTCGTGAGATAGCGTTGTAGTATCATCTGAAAGGCCCTAGTGAGCCATACATAAGAGCTTTACTGAAAAACATCAAGCTCCCATTCTGGCTTGACCAAACCTGTCAACTGTATGAGGTTTACAGCCTTCTAAATACTGTGAAGGTCGGAGGTGGTTCCTTGACTTTATCTTTTTTGGAGGAATTTAGCTGTTTTAAAGAACAGAATGTTCCTGGTTGTAAGTGATGTAAGAGAAACACAACAACATCCTCCTGCTTTGGAAAAGTTCTGGGGGGCTTTTAGATTTCTTTAGCACTACTCCAGGAAATTGTGGTCACAGTTTCATTGTGGTCAGTTATATGCAGTTGGCTCATTTATTATAACTATATCAAAACAGCTTTTCAGTGGCTCACTAAAGTGGTTTGTTTATTGCTGAAATTCAGTTTTAGAATACATATATGATACTTGCAGTCTATTGCAAGTTCTTGATTTTTTGTGTCTTTTGTGTGGATTGTTGAGCCAAAATGTGAAGTCCAAGCATAAATGAATATGAAAATGAATAATACACTCAAATATAATATTTTATTTATAATTATAGGGCTATATACACACTACTGTTAAAAGGTTTGGGGTAATTGAGATTGTTTTAAAGAAATTAATGCTTTCATCAAGCAAGGTTGAATTAAAGGGATAGTTCACCCACAAATGAAAATTCTGTCATCATTTCCTCATCCTCATGTTGTTCCAAACCCTGTATGAGTTTCTTTTTTCTGTTGAACACAAAATAGGATATTTTGAAGAATATGGGTCACCAAACAGTTGATGAGCCCTATTGACTTCCATAATGTTATACTATAAATGAGGCCTCGGGCCTGTTTAGTTGCCCATGTTCTTCAAAATATCTTCTTTTCTGTTCAGCAGAAGAAAGAAACTCATACTGGTTTGGAACAACTTGAGGGGGAGTAAATTATGACAGATTTTTCAGTTTTTGGTGAACTATCCCTTTAAATCAATCATAAAGTAACGACATTTATAATGTTACAAAAGATTTCTGTTTCAAATAAATGCTGTTCTTTGGAACGTTATATTCATCAAAGAAACCTAAAATAATGTATTACTGTTTCCACAATAATATTAGGCAGCACAAAATTTTCAACACAGATTTGCAATTTGGGCCGCAGCATTGTCTTTATGAAAGCATAACATCTGATCATTCCTCTGTAGATAACAACTTTTCATTTTTGAGAAGCAAGCCATTCTGCAATATTCTCCTGTACTCCAAAGCATTATATAACATTTCACAGTGACGTAGCTCACCAAAACCAGCAGCTAGAAAGGCTCCCTACACAATGACACCTCTTCCTCCATGTTTCACTGTGGTAGAGATGCATTTATTATTATAGCTATTTCTCACTGTATTTTCGAAGACATCGCTCTGGAGCATCACCATGCAACTCATGTTTCATAGTGATTCATCACTCCACACACAACTTCTCATGTTCTGCCAACAAACTTAATTCTGTTTTCAAACAGCAATGTCTTTTTAAGTAGTGCATTTGCTTAAATTTAGCTAATTTCCTGACCAATACTTTGCGGTTATGACAGTTAAAAGCTTAGTGTTTAGCCATTTTGGGCTTGGTCCATTTTTTTTTTCTTTGCCCAGAAGTGTATACATTAATTTACTATACATGTAATATAAAACTTACCCGCACACAAAAGAATAACAGGACAGTCTTATCATTTTAAATTAAAGTTACATTTTGGAAATTTAGTTTGGAAATTTTGTAAACCAATCATGCCGCAATCATATCCCACTGCAGTCTGGTCATGCTAATTTTAAACTATCTGGTTCCTGTATTAAGTGCTTTTGTAGAAACTGTGATGGAAAACTGTGGCTCAAAGTCAGAAAGTGTTTATTTGATATGGGACCCTCTCCTTCTATTTCTCAACCACAAGGTTACATAACTATACTTGCATAACATCCTTTTCGGAATTTGGGGAGCGAAGGTAAATCATAATTTGATGGTCAAATAGCCGTGTACCTGCATATGGCAACAGTATGTAGATATGCTTGTGGAGATGGCCAGTTAAAAGAAGATGGATATGATATGCTGTGCAGGAGAGGGCTGTAATTAATTTTTGTATCCACTTTGCTCATTTAGCTCTCAAGGGACAGTGTCC